GGGTACGCCGGGTATGGTGGCATGATTATATTGATGAAATCAACAGGTAATATAGACACTCGATGATGGTGATGAGTACACACTGGCTGGCTACAGTCAAGCCACAACCACAAGTGACGCCACGCCTAAAGTTCTTCCGCGGTCGGCGTCATGTCTAGCTTGAAAACTGCGATTTCCTTCATTTTCAAGCAGCTTTCATAGGATGAATTCGTTACGTTAAATGTGGGTTTATTTTTAAATGCCACAGAACGCATGGGAGTACCCCTTTGGTATCAATTTAACATTTCAACGCAAATTGCGGAGGACTACTTGTTGGCGCGCAGCCAATCAGAGACCTGCGTGAGGTACAAGCGGGCTTACCTCTGCGCAAGCCTGCCTTGTGTTTGGGTCTAACTGAGTGGGTGCGGCCATTGCTCGATGCAACGCCTAAAGCTTTCTTTTTCGTCCCAGTCGTTCTTAGTTCATAGTGCATAGTGTACAGCGTTATTTCATCGGCCGTCAAGAGGGTAAAACCATCTACCGCCGCGGCTGTTCGTGAGCTCGAACTGGCTGAAAACGCTGCGTGAGAACGGATTTTGAAAGAGAAGCAGATAGCTTGGTTATGTTCCCGCCTAAATCCGCTTTGTTCTTTCAGGATACCCGATGGCTGGAGATTTGTACAACTTTAACAATCGGGATGGCCCTCCAGTGAGTCCTGCAGTAGAAAACTGAGAAGGGAACTGAATGCTATACAATGGAGATCCCTTGTACTATACCGCAGTGCCCCTTTGTTGGTGAAGATTTGCAACATTTCTGCAACCACTTGAGAAGATTTCACTTTCACTTGAAATGTTTTAAGTTTACTTGTTTCTTAGAGGGTTGTGGTGTCATTCTAAACCATGTTGCTAGTGTTAGGGCCCACTTCCAACGGCTGCATCCTGACTTGTGGGAAGCCACTGGGCGACAAATGGTTAGGCGTATCGTACCACCTACAGAAATGTGCAGTGAACCTGAAGGGGAGGAGTTGCTGGCAGAGGCAAATTATGAAATAGTGGATGAAAGACAGGTTGCAATGAGGCAGTTCAGTACAATGCTGACATCATTGAGGTCTGCACTGCCCTCTGCATTTCTTAGGCTGCAATATAAGCATGGGGTTCCGTCTCGTGTGGCTCGAAGGATCCATGAAGAGTACATGAACATGTTTCGCCTTTTGTCAAATGGCAGTAACTCTTCACTGGCTCGCTATGCAGCTGCTTTAGAGTGTGATGATATCAATTTCAAGGCCATGTTGACTTGTATGGAGGTGAATGATATCTGCCGTACTTCAACTTATAGAGAGGCCGAACAATTTAGAAAATTAGGTTATGTGGAACCAAAGCAAGTTGATTTCCGCGAGGAAGCTAGGAAGGCTACTCTTTGCGCTAACGCTCTTGAGGCAGTGCAACTAGATGAGGATGATATAGATGCAGTTGAAGGATGGGGTACTGATGCAGCAGATGATGGCAGTGACTCTGACGAATCCGCTCATTATGAAGATTCAGATGAAGAGCCAGACACGGAGAGACAGCAGAGCAGCAGTGGAGAAGATGATCCTGATGATGGCACTAAGCATGTTTACCATTATGTGAGCATCATTCAAACCCTGAAGGCTTATCTGAAACATGACGATGTTGTTGCTGAGATAAGGGCTGGGCCATCAGCTCACCAGGGTGACGGAACCTATGATGAATACACATCTGGTAGGATATACCGTGAAAGTGTTCACCTTCACAGAGGTGTTGGGGCAGTAGGCACATGTGTGCCTCCTGCCGCAGAGGGCGCAGATAATCCTGGGCCTTCCAGTGCGCCTGCGAGAGTGGTGGTGGTGGTGGACCACATTTACCACTTGTTGCACCATTTGGGCGACGGCTGCGGGGTGGGGCGCCGCTGGCTGCTGAACCGCGGGCTGAACTGCTGGGGCCGCGAGCTGGGGTTGTTGCACTGCGGCCTGTTGATTAAGTTGCCGCTGGCGTCTAGCACGTTGCCTCTTCTGCTCCAGGCACCAATGGCAGAGGCCATTCTTCAGGGGCATCTGGGTGGGGCACCCGCATTCGTCGCAGTAGTCCGGTCGTTTTATGTTCGGGTCGAGCTCCTGCACGGGTACGGGGCCGACTGCCCCGAGCACATCCTGCTCGTCCTCACTTGAGACGACGTTAGCCCAATCCCATCTATCGAAGCTTTCACTGTCGCTTTCCGCGCCTGCGGCGAAGGCGTGGTGCTGGTTTTGTTCGGTTGGGGCTAGCTCTTGCACAAAGGGTACAAAACGGCTGTGGCCACTTTGTGTTATTCTCGATTGACAGGAATAAGTTGGTCCGGGCAGAGTCCGTACGCGTTTGAACGCGTCTAAAAACGAACCGCAAACTGATCATTGCAAAATTTCGACGCGGTCAGACGCAAAAATCTTGCCATGAGTTGGCAACATCAATTTATAAGAAAGCTATTATATCGAACTCATCCCTGGGTTTGTTATTGCCCAAATCTCTCTTCGCGACATAGAGCACGGCACGGCGCGCACCGTCCTAGGCCTTGAACAAAAGCAGGACCAATAGCGGCTATCATGGTTAAAAAGCCAAGTTATTTTTCAGAATGGTTCATCCTTGTAACTTAATCTAATGCCAGCGTGTCTGAAACTTTGATCTAAAAGCAAAACTGAGAGTGTGGAAGGTTTCTGTTCAAAGTGATTAGACTTTGAAAATATGCACAAGTGGCACATGGGACCAATAATTCTTTCTCTCTTGAAGGCGGCAGCAACCTTATTGCTAACTGAAAAACAGAAATAAGCTTACCTTTGTAATCAAGTTTGTGCCAAGTGTTGTCATGTTGATCCCATTACCAAGGGCCAGTAGGCCTTTGGCTTCCTTTCATGAAGTTCTGTCGCCTGTTCCAAAGTGCATCATTTAGCCAAAAAGTTACCATCAGTCGTTTGACCCAGGATGTTCTTTCATCTTTTTATTTATGTATGTGCTGAAACAAACATAAGTATCATCAGGTGGTTAACTGAAATGCAGGTTAAGACCACAATATTTGAAACTGGAATTTTAATACAAGCAACTAAGCGGAACTGTATGAGTTAACCGAACTTGGTAATATTTTGTAATCTTAAAATCATTTTGCAATTGTCTTCTACAGTATCAAATTTAGTCTAAAATCAAACTGTGAACCACTCTGGCAAGAATTTCACTTCTAAATACAAAACATTTTGACATAAAATTTGACTTTTCATCAACATTAGTGAAATATAGGAATTCAAACTTTTCATCTTATTGGATGTATAGTTGAGTACCATTCTTAAAGGAGAAGCCTTGTTTTACATCAGAGCAACTAACTCATCAAAATTTTTAAAGTGATTGTGTGCACTTTTAAACCATCAGTACTTACATATGGCTAAACCGTTGCTGGATTTTCTGCTTGTAGTATCATCAAAACAACACA